TTCTGCAATTCGCTCGTCGAAACTGTGAACTTTTAAAAAGACTTTTCGTTTTTCCTCAATAACTCCCGAACGGATGGACGTAGGGGGACGTATGTACGCTCATTTTGTAGGGAACGACGAGATCTACAATTTCTCTGCAAAAAGAATTCGCTAGTGCCAATAGTTAACGAGTTATTTGCAAAAAACTGTTTTTCTGTTTTTTGCCTAGAACTCGTTACATATTCATGCTAGCGACGAACTGTTAGGTGGAAATTATAGATCTCGTCGTCCTGTACATGAAAGGTCGTATGCATTTTTCCCGCACGACCAATGGTTTAGGAGTTATTGAGGAAAAAACGAAAATTTCGCGAAATCTGAAGGGGTACCCCTTAGAAAAATCTCGGAAAAATCGAAAAATTTTTTTTGTCGTTTATTATTAGCCATGTTGTTCCGACGTCTGATTTCTTTTTAAAAAATGCGTTTTTAAAGTGCATAAACTTTTGGGATTGACTGTGTAGCCAATACATCCTTAAGAAAATCGGTACGTAGCGTCGTGACCGATGCGCTCGTATTTTAATCTCCCGTCAAAAAATCATCCTGCCATTGATTGAACTCTTTAGAAATCAGTCTTGGTCGGAGAATTCTGTTTCGACTGTTAAAACGCGATTCTCGAATTTTAAGATGAAGAACGCGACCCATTGAACGACCCATAAAATCTCTTCACGTCCGTTTTACGAGTCAAGTGCTGTGAAAGCGTGTGAGGGATCGGGGCTCGTAAAAGGAGTTCAATTACTTCGTTCCTAATCCACCGTGGCTGATAGCTGCGAGCTCCTCAGGAGTTTTCGCTGTTCAGAGCTCACGGATTATTTTTTCTCTGCCATTTTCGTCATCGCTTTTACGTCACTCCTATGTCTTTTTTACGTATCTTAAATCTCTCACAGTCCTCACGCTTCGTCTCTCATTGCGATTCATCTTCGACTCCTTTCTTTCACTCGTCGTTCGCAAGGATATTTACACGACGAATCGATGATTGAACTTTCGATCGTACGAGACGTTCGTGTTCGTGATCGCGATGTAATAAATATTTTGTACGAGCGATTCGTATTTCTCTGTTTGCGAGACTCTCGAGTATGTAATTACGCTGTAGAGGAGAAAATTTGGTTTTGAATTTATTGTATAAGGCCGGAGAAAATGTAGGACTCGAAAAGGTGAAGTATGTCCGTTCTTCTCGTTGCTTTCAAAGCGAGGCATGAAAGAGAAAGTACGTAAGATCCGAGATACGAGATACGCCAGATTCGCGGAACGTGAGTAAAATATTTTTCGAGGGTATAGAGCAAACGCGGGTCACAGGTTTCGTGAAACGATTCATCAGACGTAACACGATGGCAAAATTATAATTCGGTTAATTCATTGATGAATAGTAGAGATCGTTCGCTCGAGAGACGAACGAGGAACAGAGAGGCTGTCGATCTTCTTAAATAGTTATCGCGAATCTACGGTTTCACGAATGAAACGGACGCGAGTCAATGCATTTAAACCGGTCGTTTTTGCCGCCGACTCGGCACTGGCTTCCCCTAGCACAAATTCATGGAGTGCATGATTAATGATCCGGTTCTTGCCGGTAGAAGTTACAGCGGCATTGTCGAGACCTTGCTACAGGGTAAGAAACATGAATTCTTGTTTGACCACCGTTGCAGTTATCAGATCGCAGGCACAAAATTACGTTCTGTTGCGTTACAGCACGATCTCAGCGATTTTCACGTTTTAATCGAGTGAACTCTTGTCGACGACAGAATCAATGATCAGGGGATATCCTGTTAGAAAATTTGTTCTTGTCTGGCAAATTCGTTTAGACTCCTATAATTCTATCGGGAGACTCCTCGCATTTTTCGAAACTCTGAGTAGATCGAGGTGCGAACGGAACGGGCAAAAGTGTTACACGAGGAGGCGGCGGCGGCGGCGGCGGCGGCGGCGGCTCGACTCACTGTCATCGAGATTATGTTAATCTGGAAGCGCGCGGTGCCACGGCTGAGAGTCATTCGATCGGTCGCAGAAAGCCTCTTCCCGCAGGTAGGATCGGATCGATGCCCCCGGGGATATTGGATTATGTTTCACTGTTAACAGGTTACGTTTCGTATCTCGCTGTAGCAGACGTTCGTCGAACCGGAGCGAATGCCATGGTTAATCGACTACGGAATCGATCATGGAAGGAAACGGGCGTGATCGACGGTGTCGATCCCTCCGCTCTTCTTCGTTCTAACGATAAAATGCTCCGCTCGCTCGGTCCGTTTCTGACACGTTCGAATCGACGATAATGCTTTCTTTTCAATTTTCCTTTACAAATGGAACGTGTGCAACGACGATAAACATTTGCCGATCTGAACCTCTGCATCGAGCATTTACTTCCATGAAGCATTAAACGGTGATCACATTGGCTGATCGAACTGTTAAAGCTTGAAATTGCGCTAACATCGATCGCGACAATCGCTGTGAAATTACACGTTTCCCATCCTTTAAGATTTAAACGAGCGTGCGAAGAGAAACAGAGAGAATAGAGAGAGAGTGTGTGTTTGTGTGTATGGAAACTCATTAAAACCGCAGAAGCAATCGCAGGTTTCCATGGTGGTTCGAACCACGCCGTTCCGCGGTAGCGAGGCGTCGGCCCGCAGAGGTGCGGACGTTGCACTTCCACGACGTGTAACCACCTCGTATTAGCATAAATTAGTCAGCTCGCGCCGTTCACGGTACGTCGTAAACGTTCAAGACGTCGAGAGCCCAAGACCTAGCTTTGACTGGTGACAGACGAACAGAATCTTGTCGCGTCGTCATCCGTCTACGTGGCCCTCTCGCGATTAATCTGTCCTATCAAGAATTCTAACTGCAGTGGAAGCCTGTCTCGTTAAATTTGACTGACAATTATGATACCTTCCCATGTTTATCGATCTTCACACTTTTTCTAATTCAATGTTCCCATCGACGATTCCTTTGAATCACGAACGTACCTAATAAATCCGAATGAAAGCTCATATGATTCGACGCGGAACTAGAGTGACAGTAACAATAACGACGGGGAACTGGGTTAATTCTGTCGTTGGGACGATTAAATCGAAAAGGGTGCCGGTTCAATTGCAGCCGACAGAGAAGTCGCGTTCCATCCGCGTGGACGCAGCCTCACGATTCGTCAGTTCAGCGCCTGACGGTCTGTCACGCAAATAAGTCGATCGTCTGGCGCGTGCGACGACGTAATCCGTGCGTTACGGCAGCTGGCTTCTGTACATCCTTGTTCATAAGTTCTCAGACGGTGTAAATTCACGATTCGATGAGACGATAAAATTTGAGATCTCTTGTAGAAACTTTATTTCCACTGTTGATACATTAAAAATTACATAAAAAATTTAATGAGTCACGGAACTGGAGTTCACGTCACGGATCACCGTTTCGAATATGTTTGTTCTAACGAGAATGACGTGCGTGGCTGTAGATTAGTCACCGTTTAAGACGTCCGTAATTGCTCGATTTATCGCAGGCTGAATCGTTGTGAGAAGACCCAGTTTTCGCGCCCAACCGTATTTCTTTCGGACGTTCTCTTTATAGCCGAGGTATTTAAAGAGAACTGCGTGTCTATGAGTCATTCATAATATTCGAGCTCGTGGAATCGAGACAGCTGCTGGACGAGTTTCATCGCGGATTGAACGAGTCAAACCGTGAATCGAGTCTTTTGCGTTTCCTCGTTCTGAATCATCTGACAGATCGTAGATAACGATTCAACTATATACCTCTTGTGGTACTTTGACTTCTTCTCCAGCAGAACAACGAGATTCACATCGGCAGCGTGTCAAGGAACGAGACCGGCGTTTTCATCCTTCCCTTCCGGTTTTAATTCGTTTTTCGCGCAAAGTCTAGAGCGTCTATAGGTTTTGTAGTCACCCACGTCGTCGGCGCGTCGTTATTGTCGTCGTCGCCGCGTTTAACGCGACAGCAGATGCTCGGTCGAGGAAGCGAAAGCTCGCAAGCTCATCGCGGAAATGCCATGTGCTGTCCCACGCTTGGCAAAAATCCCCGCTGGCAGCTGTACGAAACTTATTTACGGCCTGCCGAACCGTAATCTCTTATTTTTCGACGACTCCTACGTTGCTCCTTTGAAGCTAGATACCCCGCGGGCGACGCGACGCACTTTCTAATTGCATGAGACCGCGGAGAGACGCTATCCTATGGAATTAAATTCCTCCGAGGAAAGTCTCTCCACACTTTTCTTCCGCCACGTCGGGAAGGGTCTCAAAGTATTCGCTCGCAGATCATAGTTTCTGATGTACAACGATTTCTTTACGCTCTGCCTAGAAATTAATGACGGAACGAAATGAAAATGGTATTTTAATAAAGATTATGCCAGGTACGAATTTTTAATTCTTTTCAAACATCGATTCCAATTTGTCAAATCTTTATCGGTTACTCGTACGCTCTGTAATGAATTCTTGACAAATAGCAACAGTTCTTCTCGTAATCGAATGAATTCCGTAGAATCGTGTAATCAATGAGAACGCGATAAATCTCTGTTTCGGTTAAATACCGTGCACTCATGTATCCACCCTCTTCTCTGTCCGAAGCACGAGGCTCGCACAGTCGTTGACCCGCAGGTGAACTTTAAATTGGCTGGCAACCATTCTCTGAATGAAACAATTTCGTGGCAATTATCCACTGACACGGTAACATTTCCCGATGTAACGATCAGTTAGATAGAATTGTTCAATTCTTCGTTCCATGCATTTTTCATTAAACCGAACGATCGAGGAGACGCTCGAGAACTTGTACTTAGGTGCGACGCAGAAATAATAAACAAGATCTACCTGACGAAAAGTGAACGAGCCGTTCGTTCGTCGCGGTTTCATTGGCCGGAGATACGCCTCGATTTGGGAAAGTTCACGAATTGCACCGCGGATGACAAGTTTCGAGGAACTCGTATGGCGGAAGTGTAGACTGGCGCCAGTTGCAGCAGGAAACTGGCTTCCTCTCGTGTCGAACCGAGGACGATTCTCCCGAATCTGGATCCTCGATCAGTGAACGGTAGACCAGGGCAATCTCAGCGTTCGAGGGATCGAGAGGGAATAAAAAGTGGCGATAATTTCGTTCGGAGGGTGGTATGCGCTTTACAACCAGCCGATGCAAACTGACTTTGGATCGTCGCCAGGAACGGTGGAAAACGTTTTAAAGGCGAGGGAAGAACGATAAACGGTAAGGAGTGCGGGAGACCTTCCAAGATCGCGCGATTGTCGCCCCATTTGCTTCGATATTAATCTCTCCTTTCTGGGTCAGCCGAGCATGGGGTACGTTCACCCGCCTGCGCGATATTTCCTCCCGGTTTCTGTGTTTGAAAGAGGAGAATGAACTGCGAGCACTACCAGCGTCCGTTCTAATTGTAGGAACGAAAATAATCATACATGAAGTGAAACAGCCGTCGTCGCCGCGGTCTTACTTAGCTGAATTTTAAATCGACGTATCGTGTTCTCCAGCAAACCATACTTGTCAGATATAAAAAGATTTTAAGGACAATTTTATCCTCGAACGATGCACGATATCTCGAGTCCGAATTTATTAATACACTCCGTGGTACAGATTACTTTCCAGATATCTGCTACGGTATAAATTACTTCCTCTTAATTCCAGCTATATTCCCCATAGAGCCGAACGGCTGTTGAACACGATTCTATCCCATAAAGCCGTCGAGCGTACACTCTCGATAACGTAGTTCGCGTTTCACCCCTGTCGCGGGTACGGTCGTTCATCACCGCTAAAAGCCTATACCTTATCGAAGCCGGCCGATAAGAGGATCACGCCTACGCTCCCCACGAAGGTACCCGGCAGGTGAGCCACAGGTGAACGGTGACGCGCTCAACGCGAGATACCCCCGTCCCCTTGCCCTGTTCCCACGATCATTTTTCCAGTGAGCCTGCGATACTCGAGCCAACGAACGGTTCCGTAGTTTGCATTAGCGATCGTTCTACTATCTGCTGAGAGTTCTCGCAACGCTGTTTTAGCATCATGTGAAGTTGAGACACGAGAGACACCGTAGACAGCATGGGGAGGGTTACTCGCCCAGCAGCTTCGTGCTGGACTCGGACGAGCCCGAAAGAGGCACTTGGGGCCCGTGGTCATCGCCTAGTTCCTGCTCCAGGACCTGCGGCGGTGGCGTTGCCCATCAATCCAGGCACTGCCTCGACGTAGAGTAAGTAATTAATTACATAAAACGATTTTACAATCCGATCGTTGCGGGACGAAATTGCCCTCGGTCTCTGTCGATTTTTATTCACACGTTTTACGGATGACTCGTTCGAATTTACGACGGTAAGGTCTCGATTAAGTCGTAAATAAATGGTCGCAGTTAGATGAACGTACAAAACAATTCTGTGGTAAGTATTAAAAAGCTTTCTGCTTGGAGAGTCGCCAGGTCGATGTTAATTATAAGGTAAATAGAAACACGGGACGAGTGAAAATTTAAGGAAACTGCCCGGCAGCGTTCGGTAATGGAAAAATTAATTTTTTTTTTTTACCTCGGCGTTTCTCGCGAAGATGGTTCCCAAATTCAATCCCGTCGCTCGAGCCTGGGGGGACCTTTCTCGCCGGGATTTTTCTCGCGCCGTGAGAGAAATCGCGATAAATCCTTCTTACTTACCTAGCTGAAAGAGCGAACCGGCGGCCGAGATTAATCACGACCGCTTCCGGTGCCCGGACACCTTATCTCCACGAATTTCCCCGCCAAAAAGACGAACCGGGGAAACTTGGTCACGAATTTGTTATATAAATTGTAGTTGTAGCATCGGGGACAGCTAGACCCTGTTCCGAGAATTTTTGGATTGGACAGGACGAAAAGATAGAAATCTTAAAAACAATCCACAAAGTGCTGTCCTTAATTTTCTATTAAGCGTTCAACATGGAAGACGCTTCAAGGATCTTTTATTTCCTTGTTGACGACCTGGTTTATTCGAAATATATTATACACTAGAAACGAGAGACTTACGTAGGAATTACAATTGTGAAAAATAGATTTCCGTTTATGAAAGCTTGGGAACTCTCTTGAGAAGATTTCTTACGTAAACGCAGAACGCGGAAAATCGAAAGCGAAATCAATAATGACACGGTTTCTGATCGAGAAAGCGGGCTAATCGTGCGGATTAATCGTTTCGATCATAGATCGTGTCACGGGTCAGGCTCGATCGGTTCGTTTCATGATTTTCTTCGGTTTGAGGCATCAACCGTTTCGAAATGAAATGCTTAGAATGCGTGCGTTTAGAATAATTTCAGAGAGCGATAGACTGATTTAGTATTCAGATTTCCGTGAACAACGCGATGCGACTCTGCGGAGGCGAACAACGTTTTAGGCTCTAAACTTTTCGCTGGATTATTTAGAGAGCGACCGAGCGAACAGAATTTTTGCTTGGCCGTCGAGCCCCGGAGGAGAAGGGTTCTACGGGGTGAGAAAAAATTGGTCGCCCCACTTTTGCTTCGAGTTTCCTCGAAAGAAACTCGTTAACCAACCGCCGCGTGATATTTAACGGAGTGTGAATTTCCGATTAGGGATACGAGACTCGCTAGATTTCTGTTGAAAATCGAGGAAACAGTTTGATATCGGAAAATACATTCCGGATCGTGTATTTTCTACGTAAAACAAAAGTCAAACAACGTTTGTTCACGCTTATTACATCGTGAACTGCTTTCGAGTATGTACAACTAATAACAATGAATTTGAGCCAACTCGGGCTTGTGTTAGTTTCCTCTCGGGCGACAAAATTCAAAACGATTAATAAGAATTTATTTATTTTTATTTATTACTCGTTTTGCATTTTGTCCCCCTAGGGGAAACCCGAAAACATAAGCCCGAACTAGCTCAGTTTCATTGTTACTAGCTGTATAATTGTTTTATTGTTACAGTGAAAACGGATACGACAGGTGCACCGGTGCATCGAGACGATTCTTCTCTTGCAACATCCAGGTGAGTTTTTTTTGCCAAAGGAGCGATACAATATTGAATATTCATGCGATGCCAACGGGACGATGCAACATCGAAATTATGTCAATATCCAATTAAATTTAATTACCCGACAGCTACAATGTACAATCAGTTCATTACGATCGTCGCAATGGTACGTCCATCCGATTAGAATAATCGAGTAACACAGACAATCATCACCGGACCAGAACGATTTGTCAAAATTGTACTGAACGCGTTTAAAAATGTCGAAGACAGAAATAAATTACGCGTAGCGGAGTTTCAATCAAATGTTTAATCGGCTTGTTCATTCCAACGCGAGTATCACAAGTCCCACAACCTTTTGAACGTGTCGGTCAATTTCTCGCGGATCGGCTCGACGCTCTTTAATGAAATGATTTATACGATTATTTAATTCAGTTCGTTAAATGTCAGCCGCAGTCTGATCGAACTCTGAACCCCGCGACGCTCACTCCTGCGTACTCGATCTCTTCGTCGTTTTAAATCAGACGTCATTGTTCTCGAGACCTCGACGCTCCCACGTGTATGTTATCTCATCAAAGCTTCGTGTATCATTAAAACAGTGGTCCCGATATTGTTTCTTTGTTATGGATTCCAATTAAAATCCTGGTCAGTACTCGTTTCCTTATTTCTCTGTACGAAAGAATCAGCAGGGGAAACGTAAAACCTAACATCTAATTCAATGCATCGAGCCGACGAACTTTGAAAAATTGTACGAGCGGTTTCCCCTTGGTGTAAAAAATTAATTCGTCCGTCGCACGCGGGATTTCCTCTGGTCCCTGCCGGATAATTGAATCTGTACGTCGCATCAATTTTCACGTGAAACGCGTGGCCACGCCAATCGAACCACCGCGCCGCGCCGGACCTCACCGTTCCCCCACAGCCTTAATTTAATTTCCCCGAGTCACGAACCCTCGTTTCGGCCCACGAAGACATAGAAAACTACTTCCCCGACGGGAACTTAAACCCTCCGCTTCCCGATGCTCCTCGACCCTCGAAATATACTCCTCGCGGTCACGTAGCCGTCGTAAAACCTCCGGAGAATCTCTATTTACCACTTACCGAATCGAACGTCGAGACGAAATTATTACTTTCAAATGCGACTTTATACAGTTATCTCTGGACACGAGATTTCGATTCATAAATCGCGTCAACTCCGGCACCACCTGCAATCAATTTCCTCGGAGCGAGCGTTAAGCCCGGAACGTTCCTCGAACGATAATTGCGGCCTTCGAACGAAGCCTCTGATCACGAACGGCGGATCATCGCGATGCCGAGATTCTTCCGACCCCGAAACGTGAACCGGCGAGCGTCAAGGTGGATTCGCGGGGATCGCCACCGGCTATAAATCAACAAGGGTCCTGCGGACCCCTGGCGATCGTTTCGGGATCGCGGGTTCCGCGCTCGAGATTCTTTCTCTTTTACGGGGGGAGGTGGTGGTTCAACCGAGCAATCCCGTCGGCCCCCCGTTCGCGTCCTCGTAAGAGATCTCCCGTCATAAATCCTGGCCCGTGTATCCCCGAGCGTGCAGTTCCATCGGGACGTACTCCGTCCCTTCTGCGCGTCACCCGATTTATGCCCGAGTCTCCTGCGTGACCCTCCTCGCATCTAATTTCTCCGTCCGCCCGTGGTGGAACAGTGGTTGGGACGATCCTAAGATCGAGTCTTCGTCGGCGGTCATCGAAATGGTGTTTGCTCGTTTGACTGCCGGATCAACGAGGGCCGATATTGCTCGGGTAGTTCAGGTTCGATTCCGAGCTGGGACCTTAGCACACTTTTCACTGCGGCTCCAGATTCGGTCTTTCGTTGATCCTCGTAATTACTTCGATCGTCGCACACAGAGATTAGCTATTTATCATTCAAATATTACATGATACTAAACGATACACCGTGTCAAAAACAGTAATGATTTTTATACGCATTTGTATTCTAAAGATATTCGATACATTCGATGACTACGAATTAAACACAAAGGTATAGCCGATGAATCTAATGCCTGATCTTCGGAAGTCGGAACGTGTCACGACGAATGGCGGTTCTAATCTAAATCCAATTTCGCTCAGAGACACGATCAGTGGTTCCACACGTTCGTCTTCGAGCCCTCGTTCCATTACGTGCCGTGACCGGACACATTTTCCAATCTCCGTCGGTGCCCATCGTGCACGCGTATTTCCTCCAGGGGCTACGATATTTATTTCCTACTCTCTCGGGGAAACGCGTAGCTAGGGTAAACTGCAGTTACGCAGGCGGTGGAAAAATGTAGGGCAGAAAAGCCACTCGTGACCGCGACCACTTACATCCACCAGGTTTTCGAGTTCCATCTCAGTGATCCCTTTTCACGTGAAAATTCATTTCTACGTGTTTGGCAAGATTCGTTCAAATCGATCTCTCGTCGTACTAATTGCAATTCATTGTCGTGAAACGTTTCCTACTGCAAAGCTCAAAGCTCTGTGCACGATTGATGGCTTCACGAAATTTGCATATACGAATGCTTGGGAGTTCTGGGAAACGAATTTCGCAACGTTAATAACGACCGCGTGCGTCGATTCTGTCGGGCAGGAATGTCCAGGAGAGCCGAAGGACTTTCGAGCAGAGCAGTGCGCCGAATTCAACAGCGTGCCGTTCGAGGGGATCTACTATGAGTGAGTATCGAAAAATGGTTACCAGCGACGCGTTCTATCGGGTACGGTTACGCGGTTCATCGACGTCATACACGGCGACGGTTAGGGTCACGGCCTTTTCGCGGGACGGCCTTTTGGCCCGAAATCCTCGTTCGAGATTCCACGTTTATGGCCCCGTCACGCGTGGACGGCGCAAAGAAGAGTTCGGTAAAAGCCCGTTACCTCTATTCGTCGCCGTAATTCATTGGAACGTCGAAGAGAAAATATTTTTCTTTTCGCGAAAATCTATCTTAATTCGTATCGGCTATAAATTCGAAGTTCGGTCGTTGAGTTCAATTTAGAATGCAGGCTTTGTCCACGGGGAGCTGCATATTCTCGTTTCATAGTTAGCATCGCGCGAACTCGCGCTTTTGTCATAAACTCGTTCGGTATTAATTTTAGAACGCTCTACATTGTAAGCTATAAAGGTACGCGTATACAGTATCACATAAAAAACTGAAGGTGAACTTTTGGAACCGAATTAAAAGAGTTACTGCCAGTTTATCTCTTGTTCCGAGTGATGGTTCCCCGAATAGAACGTTACTGTTTAGAGATATCGGTAGTCACTTCGGTTGAGGGATCGACCTTCTTTTACGACGTGTCACGGTACTCGTTTAAAATCGAAATGTTTCGCTCTCTGCGAATTCGTAGCGTCGAGGAGATCGATGACGATCTCGGTGAGCTCGACACCGGCGAGACTAATCGCGTAAAATGGTTCGCAGTTGGATACCGTACACCGGCGGGCCGAACAAGTGCGAATTGAATTGCAGACCGCGAGGCGAGCACTTCTTCTACAGACACAGGCAGACGGTGACAGACGGGACGGTATGCGAGGCCGAGAAAAACGACGTTTGCGTCGGTGGCAAGTGCATGGTGAGTCTCCACGATTCACTGGATACTCGCGTGCTGATTAATCGTCGAACTGATTTGAACCGGGAAAAAAAAAAAAATTGTTCTCGATCGTAGCACGTCGGCTGCGACATGATGCTAGGAAGCGACGTGAAGGAGGATTCTTGCAGAGAGTGTGGCGGCGACGGATCCAACTGCAACACCGTTTCCGGTTTCTTCGACACTGACGATCTCCAAGCTGGTATTTAATTAGAGATGCCGTCGTAATGAGATTACCGCAGGTAATAATTTAACGTACGATTTTATACAGGATACGTCGACATTTTATTAATACCTCAAGGAGCGACGAATATCGCTGTGAAGGAGATCGACCCATCGAACAATTATCTGGGTAAGTAAATTCAATTCGTAAAACGAATAAATGATCGGAATACACTTTCACTTGTACAAACGTAATCTGCTGTTGGATTATTATTAAGATGAGCAAGTGTTTCGCTGTCGATGGTTTAACGGGTTTTATATCGACAGCCATTAGAAACACTTCGGGCCACTATTACCTAAATGGAAACTGGAGGATAGATTTTCCGCGGAGCCTGAAATTCGCTGGTACCATATTCCATTATTCGCGAGATCCGCAGGGTTTCTCGGCACCCGATATCATTACCGCCTTGGGACCGACGAGCGAGCCAATTTACGTGGTGGTAAGTGGCCCCCGTCGCTCTTAAATAGCAAATTACAACCCCTACGATCCCATCGAGCTCTCTGGTAAAATAAGCAAAATGAGAGAACGAAATGGTGTCTCTGTTGCGTCTCTTAAATAATTTCATCATTTATTACGTGCACTTCGGCAAAGAAGTCATTGGAATCGAACGTGATTTTACTCTTAAACCTGCTTCTAAAGAGGCTCATTAAACGATAATTATAGGAAACGTGATTATAATCTGTGGAATTATTTTACAATAGTTATTGTATCAAGATCATAACGTCGGGGTGCGATACGAGTACAGCGTGCCTAAGAGGATCTCGCAGCAGACCGATCCGGATAGCTACGCGTGGATCACCGACGAGTTTTCAGTCTGTAGCGCGACTTGTGGCGGAGGTAAAACGAAAACTGAACACCACCCACGGTAACGTTTACAGAGCGGATAACCCTTCCGGATGAACGATATTGTCGGTTCTAAATTTGATAGCGCAATTTACCGGAGCCCGGAAGTACGCCGCCGCCGGTTTCGCGTGCGCGCGTTCGTTCATTAATTAATGTGCTTTCCATTTACCGTGTGTACACCCACCGCGGCGTACGTTCAATTATTGGCCGAAGATGAAAGTCGATCGTTTAATACGTCAAATACGCGTCTCCAAATCTGGAAGCGAGCTCTTGATTTCTAGATAATTGGTGGCGATTCATTAATTGACGACGTTAGGAATGAATTCTAAGAAACCTGTTAATTAATTTCTGTTTCATTGCTAAAGGTTATCAGTCGAGGCGAGTGGCCTGCGTTCGAAGGAGAGACAGTCAGCCAGTGGACGAGAGCCTGTGCGACCCGCAAATGGAACCAGCCGACACGGAGTCCTGTAACATGGAACCCTGTCCACCCGCGTGGGTGGAGGGCGAATGGGGACCCTGTAGCAAGCATTGCGGCGAAGGAGGCGTGCAGAACAGGGTGATCAAGTGCGCCCAGGTCATCTCTGGTGGGATCCCCACGGTGGTGGTCGACGACCAGTGTTTGGAGAAGCTGGGACCGAAAGGGCCGACCAGCCGGGAGTGTAACAAGGACGTCGACTGTCCACAGTTCCACGTAGGCCCGTGGAAACCGGTACGTATTGTTCGCTCTATTGATTGATCTTTGGTTTCTCACTTCTGACAAAAACGACGATCTAGCGAATGAAATTAGAGTTTCGAGATGTTAAGCTGTTCATAATTCTGCGTTTAACAGTGTGACCATCTATGTGGTCCGGGCAAGCAAGTAAGGAAAGTGACGTGTTACAAGAAAGTAGACGGTAAGATCGAAGTGTTGGAAGACCAAGCTTGCGAAGAAGAGGTCCCCGAGCGTGAGAAACCCTGCAATCTGAGGCCTTGCGCCGGCCTCGACTGGCTCACGTCAGATTGGAGCGGTGTAAGTCACACAATTTTATTAAAAAAATGTCTTTACCATATATTTTTGTAATCGGGACTCGATGTCACTGATCAGTGCGATGACAAATGTGGATTGTCGCAAGAGACTAGAAGCACTCAGTGCGCTACTCAGGATGGAACCGTTTATTCGGATGAAATGTGCGACGAGGCGAAGAAACCGAATTTAACGAGGAGTTGCGAGAGTACGAAAGAGTGCGAGTCCGTGTGGTTCGCCTCTCAGTGGAGCGATGTGAGTTACATGGCGTTCAAATAGCGTCACGATCTTGTATCATACGTTCCTGTTCGTTCGAGTCACGCTCGTAACACTTCGTTTCTTTGGCAGTGTTCGGCGAAGTGTGGATCGGGCGTGCAAACGCGTAAAGTGTTTTGCGGCACGTTCGACGACGAAGTGGTAAAGAAAGTATCTGATGAGAAATGCGACGCGAGCAAGAAATTCAACGACACGAAGGACTGCACCGCCGAGGAAGAGTGCAAAGGTGAATGGTTCGCCGGTCCATGGAGCAAGGTAACGTTTTTTCTCCCGTTCCAAATCTTACTAATCGGTACAAGAATCGTATCTATCTCTATCGCAAGTTCGATCAGACGCACGTAAAGTCGATTGACGAATCGTACGATTTCACAGTGACTCTGCTGAGAATTACCAGCGTTAAATTGTTACATAACGCTCCGCGTGATCTCCTCGTCGTCGGACAATGAAAATCTAAGACCGGGTATTGATTACCGTAGAAAACTCGTTGAGAAGAAACTTAATATCATCTCCGGCTTCGAGTCAGACGAGAGAGGCGCGCGCTTCAAATTTCTTGCATTAATCACGTTACCTTCGGTGTTCCAGTGCTCGAAACCGTGCGGCGGCGGCATGATGCAGCGCAAGGTAATTTGCATGAAGGACAACGCGACGGCCCCGTCGAGCAACTGCGGCTCAAACATGATCATATTTTCCACGGAAAACTGTAACAACCAGCCGTGCGAGGAAGGTACTGATCGCTTTTTAATGAACCCTTTCCCCGTGGAAATAAATGCGTCGTCTAACTATATTTGGCAAGAGCCTGTAGAAAATAATTTATTACTAGTCGATGAAAATAGATTTCTTACAAATGATTAAATATTTGTTCGGGTCATTCATGAGAGAATCGACGGTTCATCAAAAGTGATTACTTCGCTGATGTGAGAAAACTTTACTCGGGAGTAGAGAGAAAAAATACTTCGGAGACTTTGTATACTACGAGATTTGCAAAAAACTGATTTATTGCACTTAATGCGAGTCTCGTTTCTTTAGACGAGGTGATACCGATGCAGCCAGAGAAGATCAAAGACCTCGCCGAAGAGGACGAGGACGAGGAGTGCGAGGTATACGAGGACGAAGACGAAGGTTTCGTTAGCGTCTCTTCGAGCCTAGACTCTACTGTGAGTAAAGTCGTGTCACACTTTTTATTCAACTTGCAATATGGGAATAATTCCTCAGACGAATAACTGATACGATTTACCGGACAGGACAAATCCGATGAAACCGATGCCGACATTACGGAAGCGACTCCTATGAGTTCTCCGGATACGAACGAGTCGAGCGTGAGCGACATGGAAGACGTGATGCTCGGCGACGCCGGATACACGAGGGGCGACATATCGCCCGGTGAGACTGGAAGCGGCGAGGGAAGCGGAACAGACTTCACCGATTTCCTCACCGAGTTCGACACGACGATCGAAGGCAGTGGAACCAGCGAGACTACGGAGGATACAACGTTGACAGGAATCACGGAGACCGACGTCACAGAGGAGACCGTCGAAGGGTTCACTGAAGATATCACGGAAGAGACTCTGCCATCGGGTGGTCAGTCATTCATGTCGACGAAAACTTGTGATCAAGATCTTTTAAAGTCGAGATATTTTAAATACTTTATAATCGTATTCTGGTTCGACTTACTATTTAGAAACGGAGGCGACGGAGACGACGGAGTCTGGCGCAACCGAGGAGACGACGACTGGCGAAACGTCCGAGATCGCGACGACAGAGTCTGGAGCGACCGAAGTAACGGAGTCCACAGAAACTGAAGCGACAGGCTCGACGGAGACCACGGAATCTGGCCCAACTTCAGAAACCGAGAGTACGGTCACTGAACAAACAAAAGTGACTTCCACGCAAGAATCTGGTGAGTCAAACACTTATATGAAGCATTCAATTTTTCCTTCTTAATTAAAACAAGCCGTGATATTGTTAAAAAATCCTTTAACAACTGTATAATAAGTATACTTATTTCGATACAGAAGCGACAGAATCCACGATCTCTCCAGAAACTACGGAGTCTGGCGCTACCGAAGGAACCACTGAGTCAGGACCCACGGAGACGACAGAATCGGGTGCGACAGAGACTACGGAATCCGGTGCGATGACAGAATCCGGTGCGACGACAGAATCCGGTGCGACGACAGAATCCGGAGCGACGACAGAATCCGGAGCGACGACAGAGTCCGGAGCGACAACGGAGTCCGGTGCTACGACGGAGTCGGGGCCAACGGAAGTTACCGAATCGACAGAGTCTGGAGCAACTACCGAAACTACAGAATCCGGTCTCACAGAGACCACCGAATCCGGTCTCACAGAGACCACCGAATCCGGCATGACGACCGAGTCCGGCATGACGACCGAATCGGGTGAAACTACCGAGTCTGGTGCTACCATGGAATCCGGAGAGACCACGGAATCTGGCGAGACTACCGTTTCGGGAATGACCGAGTCGACCGTCTCTGGTTTAACAACGTCGAGCGAAGAAGAGACAGATTACACTGAGAGAACTCATAGTAAGTTCTTTAAATTAACGATCCGTTTTATGCTCATTATTATAGAAGTGATGGTAATATAAAAAGATTTAAAAACACTGAATTTTCATAGAATATTATAGATATTAATATTTTCTATCGTAAATCGTTTGCTTCAGTATCTGAAATCTGGACGACGATCGGTCCGGAGGAGACGACACGTAAGCACCGCGTGTGTAAAGTGCCTAAGAAGAAGAAGACTTGCAAGACCGCTCCGTTTGGCTGCTGCTACGATGGAGTCACACCAGCGGAAGGACCGTTTGGTCAAGGATGTCCGACTCCCCAAACCTGCAACGACACCAAGTACGGCTGCTGTCCAGACGGAGTATCACCGGCCACGGGACCGAAAAATCAAGGATGTCCCGATTCGCATTGTGAGGAAACTTTGTTCGGCTGCTGCCCTGACGGGATCACCGCTGCGGAAGGCAACGACTACGAAGGATGCAAGAAACCTTGCAACGAAACAGAGTTCGGATGCTGTCCTGACAACGAAACTCCTGCGAGTGGGAAAGATAACATGGGATGCTGCAACGTTACCGAATTCGGCTGCTGTCCCGATGGGATCGAGCCTGCCTCTGGACCGGAAGGGGAAGGATGCGAGGAAGAAACCGTTAGCCCTGTCACTGAAGAAACGACTGTCGCACAGGAAGATTGCGCGAACACTACCTACGGATGCTGTCCGGACGGCGTTTCCACCGCTACTGGTACGAACTTCGACGGCTGTGGAGTCATCAACAAAGAAAATTGCACTTTGTCTTACTTCGGATGCTGTCCCGATAGTCCTTCGCCAGGTTCGTTAAAATTCAATATAAATTATGACTCTCGTCGTATCGTATCGATGAGACGTCGTTCACGATATCAGAAATTTCTGATCCACAGCTCTGGGACCCAATAACTACGGTTGCCACATGCCCTGCGAAAACACGACTTACGGCTGCTGCGACGATGGTGTCACCCCAGCGCACGGTTCCAACGGAGAGGGTTGCTGTCTCTCGACGCCGTTCAAATGCTGTCCAGACAACATATTACCTGCTCGGGGTCCGAACTTCTACGGCTGCGGATGTCAGTACTCAAGGTTCGGCTGTTGCCCAGACAACAGCACGGCCGCTCGTGGATCTAACAACGAGGGTTGCGGTTGCAAGTACACTCCTCATGGTTGCTGCCCGAACCGGTTCACGCCAGCCACTGGCCCGAATTATGAAGGCTGTCCGTGCTATACTTATCAATTTGGATGCTGCTCCGACGGTGTCACCATTGCCAAAGGACCACATGGTCAAGGTAAGCGTCGAATCTGGTGAGTGGCAGTGAACGCGTAATCGGTGGAACAGCGAATGAGGCTCAAAACAGTCAGTAACATTTGTAACATTTGCAACAATACGCGTTGTCTTTTTTTAATTTACAGGCTGCGGTTGTGAGAACACAGAGTTCAAGTGCTGTTCCGACGGACGGACACCGGCGAAGGGTCCGAACTTTGCCGGGTGCACTTGCGACGCGTCTAAGTACGGTTGCTGCCCCGATGGAGTCGAGGAGGCTCAGGGCGAGAACTTCGAGGGTTGTCTCTCGGTGCCCTCGACGCCAGGAGCTGCGTGCGCGCTGGAAAGGGACAGAGGACCTTGCCGGGACTTCACGGTCAAGTGGTACTTCGACACGGAATACGGTGGCTGCTCGCGATTCTGGTACGGAGGCTGCGAGGGCAACGACAATCGATTCAAGACCCAAGAAGAGTGCAAAGAGGTCTGCGTGCAGCCCAAAGGAAAAGGTAAGACTCGAGATGACCCATTGAAATATTTGAAGACGTTCTGATCTTTCTTTTCGTTCGACGGAGATATGAATTTCGATACGTTCCGTTTTTTGTACAGATGCTTGCTTCCTGCCGAAGATATCTGGGCCCTGCGAGGGGTACTTCCCTACTTGGTATTACGACACCGGTAGGAAACAGTGCGGGCAGTTCGTGTACGGAGGCTGCCTTGGGAACGCGAACAAATTCAAGACCAGGGAAGAGTGCGAAGAGCTTTGCGTTACTCCCGATGATCTGGGTAAGTCGATTTCAATTGAAATAAACAGTGATTAAGAGTTTAATCGATCCGGTTCGTGTATCAAGATCCTTGCGAGCAACCGAAAGAGCCAGGACCTTGTGAAGGCAACTTCACCAGATGGTTCTTCAACGCGGAGTCGCAGGCCTGCGAGCAATTCCGGTACGGCGGATGCAAAGGGACCGACAACAACTTCCCTACCGAGATCGCCTGCCATCAGCGATGTTTGCAGCCAGGAAGGCGAGGTAAGTTCGTCGTTTTCGATCTCCTAAATCATTCGACATCCGCACGTATGGAGCTCGTTCCTTCGCCTGTACCCATTCTAGATATTTTTATTCAGAGATGCATTTGACGGTGTTCCACGTTCTCTATGATTGTTTTTTGTTTTTATTTTTGAGTGCGCCTTCCCCAGTCGATTTTTATCGAAAGTAGTCGATACACGAACACACGGTGATCGAGTTAACGGAGGATTTGTAAAGTAATAGAGTTTGAACGAGGAAGAACACGAGCCGTTTGACATGAATTTTCATTACTGGGAGAATGTCAGAGTTCATTTAATTAAGTAACAGTTATTACGTTAACCGGTTCTCGTATCCTGGGAGTTGGGTAGCGATCTAACGAGCATCGTCGCACACGATATCAGCAAGCACTCGGGCATCACACGCCGTGCCAAATAATTGGCATCGTGCACCGTTGAAACGTGAACGGTCTTACATGTGCTACCGACAGTAATTCCAGCAAATACGTATTTCCAGTAAACTTGACGGACGTGTGCCGCCTGGAGAAAGATCCCGGCCCTTGTCCGGGCTCTCAGTTGCGCTGGTATTATGACGCCCGTCGTCAGACGTGTCGCCAATTTGTTTACGGCGGTTGTAAAGGCAACGCGAATAAATTCCGTACGCTCGCTGCCTGCGAGCAGCGCTGCCCCGTAAAAGGTACCCGAACAAGCGAGAACTGAAAACGAAGAAACACGACTGTGGAAAAAAAGAGAATCGAAAAGAAAGCAGGAAATCGTGAAACAACAGCTTCTCTGCTTCGCGAATAACAGCGTCGCTCGCAATCCGATAGAAACGAGTCGTTTCTCATTTCATGGCTGTTCGGGAAACGATCAGACGTTACTCCTTGAAATCCCATTGTTCCTTTAAAATTTCTATGATTGCAATTTATTAAGAAATCGAATTGCGATACGAGAATTTATGGGATCATGCGATAGAGAAACGATTCTGGATGTCGTTGGTGTTGGTTTACCACTGTTCTCCAGTTAACAGAGCACGTCTAACGGGTGAAGCACTCGTACGAAACATTAATACACACGATGTTACGATAGTTCTCACATGATTAATTCTACAATTGTTCTTCACGTATTTTATCAGCACCAATCGTAGCTTAGAAAGAAGTCTCGTAGAATGGGAACGGCATCCGTCGCAGGAAACAACGCTTACACTACTAGGAATCCAGAAACAAAAAGCATCGTCGATCGTTTGCGATTTTCTCATCGTTTCATACTTGCTGCGATTAATAATTCTCTCGATTTACTCTTTTTTTATTTTGGAAATCGATTAAACATCGAGGAGATCGCAAACGACGAAGAGCAGACGAGTACCTAATTTTGCATGACGTAATGAATTGATGCAATTAACAGATAGTTGCTTGCTGCCGCGAGCCGAAGGTAGCTGCGGCGAGAAGCGATCTCAGTGGTACTTTGATCAGTCGGAGAATCGATGCATGCCATTCTATTATACCGGTTGCGGTGGGAATAAAAATAATTTCGAATCTAGGGACGCATGCGAGTCCGATTGCCCGGCTGTAATTGGTAAGAATTTTTTTTTACAACTCTCTCACTCTCACTCGCTATCCTTGAAACGCGATATACTTCCTTATAAGAATAGTTGCTGAAATTGATTAACGCTTTCTCTGGCACGATATTTCACAGAGATCATTACCGCCCCCCTTTATGCAATTGTCTTCGGCGTAGATCGCATCGAATGCGCACCTCACGTCGAGTCATCGTACCGCGTACAATTTTTATGAACTCTTTATGTTGCTTTATTTGTTGAAAAGAGAAACGAAAAGTTTCATAGCTTTCTACTTGTTACACGGATTTTAAAAAATTATTTATTTCAAATGTGAATCTTATGACGCTTTTCGTTTCCTCGTACTGATCGAAAACGAGGTCGCGTGTTAAGAGCAATTTCGTTTGAACACACAGAGCAAGACACCTGTCTCTTGCCTGCGCTGTTGGGCGAGTGCCACAACTACACCCAACGATGGTACTACGATTCGTACGAGCAGCAGTGCAGACAATTTTATTACGGCGGCTGCGGTGGTAACGAGAACAACTTCGTCACCGAACAGGATTGCCTTAACAGGTGTCAGACCACCGTCACCACTCCCGCGCCGCCGAGCGAGATCGAATTCAGACCCGGTAACGATTCTCCACTTCGAGCGATACTCGAATGAATAATTTACATTTTGTATGCGTTGATAAAAATTTGGTGGAACACACGTCGAGATAAGATAAATTTTCAGAGCTCTGTTTCCTTCCGGACGCGCACGGCCCGTGCTCCGATGAACAAGTCAAATGGTTCTACGACAGCAGAGAGGGTGTCTGCAAGCAGTTTAGATACGGTGGCTGCCAGAGTAATGGCAACAACTTTAACAGTCGTGAAGAATGCGAATATCGTTGCGGCGAAGTTCAAGGTGAGAGAAATGATTTGTACCTCCTGGAAGGAGAGTTCGAAAAAATTGCCTCGTCGTAAAATTTGTTTGAAATCTTCAGATCTGTGCACGCTGCCGAAGGTGATCGGCCCCTGTAGCGGCTTCGTCAGGCAATACTATTACGATTCTCGAACAGACTCCTGCCACGAGTTCGACTACAGCGGTTGCCAGGGCAACAAGAATCTCTTCCAGGACAGAGAATCTTGCGAGAGGAGATGCCAGAAGCACGCGGTACCGACGCAGCCTGCTCAGAACGTCACGTTCACGACACCGCGATCGGAGACCGCCTCGAAGAGTCCTATTTGTTACGCGCCCGTGGACCCTGGAACGTGCAACGGCGACGTCACCGCTTATTATTACGATGCGCATAGTCAATCGTGTCAGGCGTTCCTCTACGGTGGCTGCCAAGGAAACGCGAACAGATTCCAGACCGAGGAACAGTGCGAGAGGCTCTGCGGCAAGTTCCACGGACAAGGTAAAACGATTTATTACGACTTGAAACGATAGTTCAGTGACAGATCCTATGTACGAACGATCGACCGAGAATATTTTATGTCCGTATCGTAACTCGACGTGATTCATTTTGCAGACACGTGCAATCTGCCAGCGGATCCCGGTGTTTGCAGAGGATCTTTCCAAAAATATTACTACGATTCGGCGAGCCGGACCTGCCGCGAATTCTCATACGGCGGCTGCGAGGGAAATGCGAACCGATTCAGTTCGATGGCCGAGTGCGAATCGATTTGCATTTATCACGAGGAACCGGTACCGCCTGGAAACGACACTGGTCACACGAGCGTCTGTAAGTACCGTCAACCGATTTATCGTTAAAAAGTAGAAGTGTTTAATGCTCATAAAACGAGTGTGTGGAAGTTTTATACGACGCGAACGAATTTTCGAAAATTCGATCGAATAAACGAATAACGAGTTGACACGGTTGTTCAGCGATTTGCAAAGAACCGGTCGACAGCGGGTCTTGCACCTCCGGTTTTACCAAGCGATTCTACTTCGACGAGGAACTGCAAACCTGTCGCGCGTTCATTTACACGGGATGCGGCGGCAATCGTAATCGATTCAAGACCTTCGAATCTTGCGTTAACACTTGCCTCAGCAGTAAGTCGAGGAAACGTGCTCACGAACGATTTCATTTATTTTTGTCTACGCCAATTTCCAGGTCATCCTCGTATTCAGCTGTACATTGCATTCTTCTCTGTCACTAATTCGAAATTCTTTCGTCCCACGATTTCCTTTCCAATGCGCCCTGTAATAACTTTTTATTTATTGACTTTTTATTTTTATCGTTGTCCTCGAGCTTTGAAACATCCCCGCAAACGAAATCTATTGTTTATGGTCTCTTTTTAACTTTTATACTCTTCGAACCTTTCGTCTCCTAATCGCGATTGTTCTGTCCATTCGTATAGCTACCAACGAGATCGACGTAGACTCTGGAAAGGACAAGGAAGACACTTGCGCGGAAGCTCGGGAAGAATGCGACACGATTCGATGTCCTTACGGCAAGGAAGCTTTCGTGGATACTCAGGATTGCGAACGATGCCGTTGCGTCGATCCTTGTAGGACCCAGGTCTGCCCCGACGATACCAAGTGTGCGATCACTCTGGTCGCTACCAAGGATGGCACCGAATACAAAGGCGTCTGCAGATCTGGTAAGTCCGTCGACCGTACAACTTCTACCTCCACGAATCGGAATCCTAAAACGGTGAGAAACGTTCGGAACGATTTTTGTATACAGTCACGAAACCAGGCCGTTGCCCGAGCGTGTCGAACAGCACCAGATGCGAGCACGAGTGTCTCACGGACGCGGATTGCGCCGGAGAGATGAAGTGTTGCGACAACGGCTGCGGGACTTCCTGCCTGGAGCCGGCGACCGAGGAGGTCCCGACTACTTCCCTGAGACCGTTCGTCACTTCACCACCGATCGGAGCGGAACCGGCTGCCATCAAGCAACCGGAGGAGCCGAAGGTCAGCGCTCAAGAGGGTTGCTACGTGACTCTGCGGTGCATCGCTCTGGGAAATCCGAAACCGGTTATTACTTGGAGGAGAGGAACGACTTTGGTAAGATCGAGATTACAGAATTATAATTTCTTTTAAATAAAATCAGTTTTAAGGTACGAATCTTCGTACGTATGCAGAGACTCGGACGTCACTTAATGCGCTTCGATTCGATTTATGTTCTCAGATCGCACCTGCGGAGGCCCGACGTCGTATATTGACAGACGGTTCCCTACAGATCATCAACTTGGACAGATACGACGGTGGTACTTACGTCTGCATAGCTGACAACGGCCTAGGACCCCCGGTAAGAGTGGAGTACCAGTTGACGGTCACAGGTACGTACCGCATCCGCTACGTGTTAAAATAAAAATGGTGTGTCGCAATGTTTCTGGTAGAAATGCATCTCAGTAGTCGATCTAATGAATCTAGTAGACGAACGTTTCGTTTGATAGCTGCAATTACGTGATGCGACGTTTAAACTAATAGATCACGCTGTTAAACACGTAATAATAATTCTTGGTGGTGGTGTCTCTCCTATCCCCGCATGCTCGCTCTCTGTAGAACCGAAAGAGCTGCCCGCGGCGATTATAGGCGAGCCGAACAGTTACGTGACGGTCGCCATGAACTCTCCTATATCTCTTCACTGCTACGCGTGGGGTTGGCCGAGGCCTTTCGTCACCTGGTGGCGAGGTGACCGCATGTTGCCGTTAACCTCAGAGATTTACGAACAGGACTCCGAATACACTCTGCTGATACGATCGGTGACACTGCCGACGTTAGGCGTGTACACCTGCCAAGCGTTCAATGCCATCGGCAGGGCTGCTTCGTGGTCGATCACCCTGCAAGCCGTTGGCCCGGTGTACAACGTCAAACCCGAGTACGAAAAATACATCCAGTACCTGGTCGATCCTCCTAAAAAACCGGAGAAACCGCAATACCCGTACAGACCTAATAGAACTCAGACGCCTGACTATCATACGAACGCACCTTACAGCACTAGACAGACTCACATCCCTACGGTCAGCCCGTTGACCACTACTTTGGAGTATGGTTCGAGGTTCAGAGGTGAGGGGCCGATGGTTCTTCCATTCTTCCAATTGCACCATCGAATAGATTCAGATCCGCGATTCCGAAATCAAGGAAAACTATAAATCATTCAGACATGAACGATGATGCAATTGGATCTATTTTTTTTCGTATTCTAACACCTGCACTTTCGATGCTTGCATGGATGAACGCTTTAATTGTTGTTACGCAATCTAATCCAAGGCATTTTGCATTTGCTCGTAAACGTACTAATCGCATCTCTAAATCATAATGACGTCGATAAGACGTCAGTTCGTACAATTTTTTATCCTTCGTTTACTTTTACCTTCTTCTCAGTGTTATTCGAGAAATATTTCTGACGTGACATTAATTATTCCGCAGTGCCGGTCACGGCTAACATATCAATAGGACAGAACCAGTTCCCCGAGGGTAGCGACATCAGCATCGCCTGCCACGTGGACGGCTACCCGATCCCCAGAGTGTCGTGGTACAAGAACGACGAGCTGATCCATCCGGACAATCGAATTCATATTACCGGTCAGCATTCGTCTTACGTTTGAAATAACAATGAGTGCAGAAGATTTCTTAATGAATTGTTTTATTTTGTTTGGAATCGTGCAGAAGTGAACAGGCTTGAGATCAGTGACGCGAACCGCGATGATTCCGGACAGTATCGTTGCGAGGCCACTAACGATTATACGTCCGCTTCAGCTTTGGTCGACATACAAGTCGCTGGTAAGTGTTCAAGATGAAAATTTGACGGTAGACAAATCTCGGTTCAGATCAACCGTGCGGATTCTTAATTTCTCCCATTTGACTATGTTATTTAAAAAGTCAATGCGTCGTGAAATATTTGGAAAACGATGAGAGGTTTTGAAGAGGAAAAAATTGTGTGTTCCCACAGGAATCTTCATACACCCGAACTGCCAGGACAATTCGTTCTTCGCGAAGTGCGACCTGATCGTGAAGGCGAGATACTGCACGCACAAATATTACGCGAAGTTCTGCTGTAGATCTTGCACCGAGGCCGGCCAGTTGCCCTCGAGGGGACCTCACCTGAGCAGTTCCAGGAGAAGGCGAAGGTACATCACGAAGCTGCTCCTCTAAGACTCGCCTCGTCGACGAGCCTGACGGGACGAAAGCGAACGACGATCGCGGATCAGGTGCGTGAAAAGCGAGTCTGTACGACGAAAGGTAAGAGAGATCGACGAGCGTACTCTGTCTCGGGCGCGTGCCGAGTATAAGCGTGAACGCGAACTCACTGCCAAAGCCTTCGAACGTCTAGAAATAGATAGTGTAGATAATTAAGCAGGCGCGAGACATCCAATTATTTCTCGTCGAGTTCATCTTTTCTTTTCTCTTTCACTCCGTCTGTGTTTATGTATATAAAATCTGACGTTGTGATCCTAGTCGGTCCAAGCCATGCTTCGTCTCCGATTCACTGGAATTCGCTCTGATCACAAGAGATACAACTGCAAGCGTATAAATCTGAATTTGAAATTGATCATCGATCGCGACGATCGAAAGCGTGGTCAGAGCGAATTCTCGCGATGGATTCTACCGATCGAAAGTCTGCTGGTACAAGTGAGCGACAGAGGTTCGCGTTAGAGATCGAAAACGCGTCAGGGGAACGAGGAACGTCGCTGAAGATTGTACTTCACGAAAAGGGAGACAGTGGAGGCGAGTAAGAGGAGACTTGTACCTATTTGTATGAAACATATACGCACGTTACGTTGTACAATATGAATAGTTTATTACGCAGTATGCCATTTATATCCTCTACGACACTGTTATCACTTGCTTGTCGATATTATTGCCATGTAGCGAACGATAGTCCTCGAACAACTACGATACTCGAAGGTGCCACGTCGTGAGACGATGATCTTCGATCAAGGATCGAGCGAGAGTATCCTTAGTTTCCCTCGTTTCGTAGGTCGCGCGAACATAAATTGTTTCTCTTAAAAAACGAAGGATCGATCACGATGCGCACCTCCTTTCACCATATTAACGCGTTGCATTTATATATTTGTTCCTGAACATTTTAATCTTAATGTTAACTACTTACTGTTACTGTGCTAAGCACACCGTATCATCTGTCGTGAATCGTCGACGTTCGAGATTAGAAGATCGGCTGCTTCGACGACCGTCTTGCATTTTTATAAAAAAACAAAATCAAAATAGTTCAAGTGATAAAAATGGGATTTAGCAAAAATCATTAGAGCGGAGGATTTGGTAATGAAGTTCGCCTTTTAATTTCGAACGTCGCAGACGTAGTAGCTCGTAGCGTTAATTCCGAACGGAAGGTACCAAAAGCATTTATAATTATACGTATATCGTACGGTAAGGATAAGTTTTGATCGACGATGGAAAGAATCCACGGAACCGTAGAAAACATAGACGTTCTTCTTTGGTAACGATTGTTTTCAGTCACAGTAAAATGAGACAGTGCCTTATTAGAAGCCCTTCGAAGATCGGGGAAGGAGTGCTAAATAGTACTTTTACACGGAACGTTAGTGTAAATACGAGAGGGAACGTGCCCTTCGAACGTTTTTAGTCGGTAAACGTGTCTAGATGAATTCCTCCGATTCAACGTTCCTTCGCGACAAGTGATTCTTCAAAAATGGTAGAGCGTCGACAAAAGGAATTGACAATCATAGAACTGCTTCGGGAAAACATATCGAGATCTTATTGGTTCGTTACAATTGTTTTTTATTCGTTTAAATCGGAGGAATGGTAGCAGAAGGCGAAAGGACATTGAGTACTCTTCTCCGTATCCCTAGACGTGACCAAACCTTAGACAGAATCGTAGTGATCTAGCTGATTTCTGTAGAGAATGTATAAATAGTTTTAAACAGATGTATCCCACTGATAGCATATCGGAAAGAAGAAATCGAGTAGGAAGAGCGTATCGTCTTTGCTAAACGGGAACGAGGAAATGACGAAACGTTTCGGTAGATTCTCTCTATTCTATAGCAAATAATTTATATTTCTACCGTGTGATCATTGAGCCTGTACAATGATCGCGCATTTACTTATACGTTGCACTCTTACGAACATGTATATAACTCGTGTATTGCGTACTGGATCACATGTACTCGTTTTAATCAAACTCACTTACCACTGAAAGTTGAATACTCGTCCCGATTCGTCGATGTTTCAAATAATTTTCACACGAAGATAGTTTCGATCACGATCAATTTCGCACGGATGCTCATAACGGCTATGATCGTCATGACGTCGTAGTAGCATAGAAAAATGATCGACAGAACTATGGTATTAGTTGATAGTAGTTAGTCAATTATTTTGAACTGTAGCTTTGTGAACATTTCATTTTTACATGACTCTCCGGTTTCTGTAAGATGATACACGGCAAAGTGGAACGTACCTCGCGCAGACAGATATTTTTATTCGGGATACTCTCGTCAGACAGAGTCTTCGAAATCGTCGACGAATCGGAACGAGCGGTCGCCGATACGAGACCAACGGCGATGGATTCAAACGTAGCTGCGAGGAAACTGACTGACAATGAGACGAAATGAAATTTGCCAAAAGCAGGAAGAAATCAGTTTGCTCGCGTCTCCGGCGTTACTGTTCAATAGGTGCGTATAGCTCACCGCGACAGTACTAAAGATGTTAATGAGTGTATACTCGTAAGTTATATCTTAGGTAACAATTAATATTAATAATAATAATAATTGTATTAATTAATATGAAGATCACATAATTATATATAATATGAAGGTAGACGTAAACGAATGCCACACTATACAAACATTGTATGGACAATAATAATATATAAGATCCTTAAAATATACGATTAAACGATCACCAGGATTGTTATTTATTAACAATTTATTTTATGTACAAATCTTAACATATTTGAACGATGACGATTAAATCGTTAAATCAACTGTCCCTCGTGGTTGCGTCTCCTGCGCTCGATGTGAATGGAATGCCGCATGAGGTAACGCTTGTGCTGCTCCTCGATCACCATGGCCCTCTCGATCCTCTCGGCCGCGATCCTCTCGAGTTTCGCGAACAGTTCCGTGTGCACCGCGATGCACTTGCGAAAATCTTTCCGATCCAAACGATATACTTCGCACACTTCGATCGCGATCACGCTCGCGACTCGCCTTTGGTCGGGCACTAGGAGTGCCACTTCCCCGAAATGGGCACCGTCGTCCAAGTGACAGATCTGCCGAATTCAAAGTGAACATCACAGAAGAGAGACAGTCTTACGGGATTTATTGTTAGTGTCGCACGAAGAACTCTGCAATCCTTTACGCCCTTAAACGTTCGAGTTCCTGATCCCTGAGAGTGAATTTTAATAAAGTGTTACCTCTTTCCCAGTAGGCGTGAGCACAGCAACGGTTCCGGCAGAAAGGAAGAACATGCAATCGCCTTGAGCGCCAGCTTTCATGATGACATCGTTGGGTAAATAAAGCTCGAACCGTAAATTCTTGACAATCGATCGTAAGACGTGTGTAGGCAAGGCTTTGAATATCGCCACGTTCTCCACTAAACGGTGGCTGGATTGAAGCGCTATTTCTTGACGCAGTTGCTCTAAATCGAGATTCTCGTGTTCACTCGGTTCTAGTTCGTAATCGTTGAACTGCAGATTTTACGCATTCACGAGAATAGCGGAAGATCCGCAGTCCGATAATGATCTGGTGAACGTCTAGCACCTGTCAAGTTGGTCAAAATTAATTTCTCGCGGAAGTAGCTGTCTCTGAAACGATAATGATAATAGGACAGGAGACGAATTCTCATGTTCTTCGGTAACTGCTTCTGCCTCGTGTAAGCGCTCAGTTGATTTATGATCTCTTGGAACTTCGACTCGGACGCTTTCCTCCCTGCCTTTATCTGAATCAACATCACTGAGAAGCAACTCGATTACTTCATTCGATCGGCCCCTCGAAAAGTTTAATTGCGGGACTTGCCTGTGATGTAACATTCGAGGATTCTGCCGACGAGCATTAGAAAACAACTGAGCGAGATGAGACCGTCTGTTCGGGGCTCGTAGCCACCGTAACCGCTCGCTGATAATTTTTCCACGACGATGAAAAGCGCATATTGGAATCTGAACGATATACTATCAGAGTCCAATCCTACCATCCAACACTCAGGACACTTCTGTGAATTTTAACGATCGATCAACGACTGCTTCGTCAGTTACTAAACTGCGGATTTTCGCACGTGACGCGTAAATAGAACGTCGGAAGTGGCCGCGATTCTTCGACGATCGAAAGATACTTTTCCCTGACCGCTTGTGACGAACGATCGTTTTGCATAAAGATCGAGTTTATTAATTATCACTACTGCTGTTCCGATCACTTACCTCGGGCGGCACGTTGGTAAAATACAAAACTGATACTGGTATCAAATAACACAAACAGGAGGACCAATACATTATGTAAAACCCGAGCATGAACGTGCTGAACATTTCGTAATAGAAATACTTGATCTCGAAATGCTGAAACGAAGAGATCCATGATGCCCAACGGGAAAACGATACTTTTTACGAACTTTCGTTACTTGAAATATTTGTAATATCTGCGAGTTCACGTAACCGTAACGTGTCAGTTTCAAGCAGTTCAGAAGATTAACTACGCCGACCAGGTGATAGGCATCGTCGCCAGGCAGCCTCCGCCAGGGCAACGTTACGTGGTCCCACGGTATCGAGGAGATCACGTCCAACAGGAGGAAAGTTCTTAAGTAATGTCTGTTTAAGAAAGAAAGATCATTCATCTTCTCTCTATCATCGATCACTTCAGAATCGATCGCAAATAATTGTGTACATGAATATCTTCCTGGGAGCCAGTTCGACGACTACTTCGTTCACGTCGTAATAGCCACTCATGCAGTTGCACAGGATGTCGAGCCAGCAGAACGCATAGATCAGAAGATTGAACGAGTCCACTCTGATCATGTCGTGGCTCATGTTGATGAAGCAAGCCGTGAAGGGAATCGACAGGAAAGCGATCATGAATATCACCGTCATCATCAAGTCCCATAGGATCCTGAAAAATATCTCAAATGCGAGCGACGCCGGTTTACACGCTATTATCTTGAAACGATGGTGGGAACCTCCAACTGCTGAAGGGGTGGACGACCCACCACAGGCCCAGGCTCTCTTGCTTTCTCTTCTCGGCACGTACGGCGGCCTGGCTATAAAAATATTGCTTCGCACCTGGCGTGTTAGCGTTTATCTCGAACAATCGCTTCAATGTCTCTTTGAGAGTGAGGTCCTCACGCGAAGTGGAAGTCGGATAACTGGTGTGTTTCAGCTTGCACACGTGCTCTTTCATTTTACTATTACCTTTGATTCATTAACTATCAGAGACTTCGTCGTCTTCGAAATGACTCTGACGTTCATCGAGGGCGACGGAACGAGATAAACGAAATTACTTTGTCCTGCTTAATCGACGATCGAATGATCCCTCTTAAACGAAGAGATTCGTGCAAGGAAAGGGGAAAAGGACAGATGAGGTAGTGAATTCTCGTTCATTAAAAAACTGTCGACGATAAAAAATATACCCGATCCCGTAGCGTCGTTGCGACGACGACGTACATCTATGAACTAAGGTACATGTATACAAACGAGTGCGCACTATTCGCTTTTGTTCCATTTTAATCCCTTCCCACCGACGGACAACGACACGTGCGTGGTTCGCTCTGAAACGAATTTATGACTGCGGCTTGTGCGTGTATCGATCGCTCGAATCGACTCATTCTTGTATAATTGGCGAAAATAGAACGTCGTGGATTTCATCGTTTTTACTTTTCTTGCAAAAAAAAAGAAGCCTTCGTCAGAATTGGCGAAAGTCGAATCGGTCGAAGGAAAAATAGAAATCCCGTCATCGTTTTGACCCTCCAGTCAGACCGCGTGATTCTTCGGCACTTTCAAACTCCAATCACTTCTTCGATTTAAAACGTTCCACTGATGCCGAACCGTCCATTTAAAGTAAGACAGGACTCTCGTGGAAAGGTAAATGTCCAGAAGTTTCATAGACCTGAACTGGAGGATCGAAGAGCTGTAGAAACATCATTAAAAAAATAATAGTTAATCGGTTCAATTTAATCTCAACTATCAGTCTTCCCGGAATATTCCTGTTTGTCGTTTAAATATCTCTAGTTAATCGCTTAAGGATGTATTGGCTATACAGTCAATCCCAAAAGTTTATGCACTTTAGAAACGCATTTTTTAAAAACAAATCTGACG